TGGCGAGCTAAGAAAATGTTTATCTCCCTGAGCCTGGCCTTCATAATTCCATTCCATCACCGCGTCCAGCTTCTCCTCGTAGGTCAAGATCTTGCAGACGCGTGAAGGCTGTTCTAGCCTCTCTTTTCTTTGCGCTGCCGAAATGGTTCTGATCCGCTTGGTGGTGTCCCCCTGTTCAGAACGGTGCCGACGTGAATGCCAAGGACATGCTGAAGATGACAGCTTTGCACTGGGCGACCGAACACAACCACCGGGACGTCATCGAGCTGCTGCTCAAGTACGGGGCGGACGTTCACGCCTTCAGCAAGTTTGACAAGTCTGCTTTTGACATCGCTTTGGACAAGAACAATCCCGAAACTTTGCTGTTGCTGCAGGTGGGCCTGAAACCCTGTCTTCGGGTCTCGACCCTCTTTTGTGGCCAGAAACGTCCGCAAATGTTGTCTAGCAGTCGGACGGAGCTGTCGTTTTTGGCTGAAATTGTCTGCCTTTGGGATTCTGGCTTCAGTTGTGCACGGCAGAATAGGGCACTGGTGGAAAGAGGCAGGAGAATGTAAGCCTCCTGCTGCTTTGGAGTCGTGAAAGAGGGCCTGCTCCTTTCTCCCCCCAACAGCTTTTTGCAGCGAGGCCCGAAAGACTTTCTCTTCCTCAGGAGGCGATGCAGAATCAGGTCAACATCAACCCCGAGAGAGCGCAGGCCGTCCCGGGCTCTGTGACGGTGGGCCAGCCCTTCATTCTGGCTTCAGGAGGACTGCTGAGTTTGGCCAGCATCGTTTCTTCAGCAGACACCAAAGCAGCCTCAGGTTGGGCCGTTCTGCAAAGCCTGGCTCCTCCCTCCAGCCCTTGCTAACGGGCCCACCTTGCTTCCTCCTGCTGTGACAAATGAGATACGAAGAGGACCTTCTCCTTCTGGAGCATTTTAATGTTTTTGCTCTCGTTCTCCCTCTCTTCCCTGCTCAGGAGATTCCATCATCACCATGAGGCAGTTTCCAAACTCTGCCCCCTCTGTTCTCGCTACCCTGGCAGCCATCGCAGAAGCCTCCGCTCCCCTTTCCGATGCCAACCAAATTCCTGGTACGTTCAAAGGCATGGCAGAGGGAGTGTTGGTGTGTGCGTCCCAATGGGACGAGAATGACCCTAATGACGCCGGTTCTTCCCCCTTAGAAGTTGAAATGCAGCTTTCCCTGTAATTCCCCAGAGGGAAGAAGCAAACCCTTAGCTTTCCTGCAAACCGCTTGTGTTTTATTTCCACCAAGGGGTCAAGACACGTTTATTTTTTAAAAAGCAAAGCCTGCTATTTTCTGGAAAGGTTCAGCAGTGCCTTGATCTGGATGGCTCTGGGAATCTCGATTTTACGCTGTCACCGGGCTGAACTACTCCTTCCTCGATTGCAGCTGTTTCGGAAGAAATCGTGGAAACCCACCCAGCGGATGCTTCCTTCAAGCAGGCGGTCAGCGGCGGCCAGCACGTTCTCGCGATTGTGACCGAGGGCGTCCCTCTGGGCCAGCTCCAGACGGCTTTGCCGGCCGCTTGCCTTGGGCAGCCATTCATCGTAACGATGCAGAACGGGCAGCGAGGTTAGGAGCCGCTGGGGAGGTCCTGCAAAGGAGCCTTCCTTGGTTAGGCATTCTCTGGTTGTCTGGACTGCCATGCCTTTAAACCTTGGCCACTGTGGCCAGGGCTGATGGGAACCGTAGTCTTTGAGGCTGTATGCTGGGAAGGTGGCTGGAAGAAAAGGTCTTATTTTGGGTGTTGCCTTTATTCTTTCTTGGTGATAGTTGGCCAGACAGCCTTCAGATTCTCAAAGGTTTGGGAGGGAGGGCTGGAAATTAACAAAACATTCAGGAATCTCCCTTTGCAGTAATTTTCTGTCTTGTTTTATTTACCCGCATTGCATCCAACCGCTCCCTGACTCACAACATTTCTCCGCTAACTCTCCATATTTTAATGTCTCCCTCTTTTCCTCTGCCCCTGCCCTAATTTGCAGTTCTAACTGTACCTGCTGGTCAGGATGCAGAAGGAGCCCTTCTCAAAGCCCTGAGCGAGAACAGCCACCTGGCTGAAGCAGGGAAGCCGCCCTCCAAGAAAGTCAAAGTGAAACAAGCAGTGGATGGAAGGAAGGATGAGCAGGAAGGGAGAGAGGTGAAAACAAACCCCCTCCACACACACCTACGTTCACACCCGCCCACAAAGAGTTGGTGTCCCCCCCCCCAAGTGGTGCTGGACCTCAGCTCCTCTAATCCCCATCTGGTTCATCTGATCATCAGGACCAGCAGACTTGCACAGCTAGAGATGCAAAAGGGCGTTTTTTCTCCACAGGCGACTCTGATTCAGGGGGCCTGAACCACAAGCCTTAGTTGTGGTTCAGGTGACCCATCCAACCCCCCATAGTTGGTTCGGTGCTGGCTTTAACCCTGGCGCAAACCCAGCCATCGCAGGCTTGTCAGCCAGGATTCACGGCTTAGTGAATCATGCAGTCCCACTCCGTTGCCGTGATGCCACGCCTCTTCCTTCCTAAACTGGAAATTCAAGGGTTATTGCAGCGTGCGCACACACCCCGGGACCCACCTCCTCTGAGTCCCTCTTTGCAGAATGTCTTTCTCCCCAGTGACAGAGTCGTGACTGTTTCTTAGGATGGCCGCGAAAAAGAAGCTTTGCAACGGCAGCTTCGGGAGGCCAACCGTCAAGCTCAGGAGTACCGAAGCCAGCTGCTGCAGAAAGAGCGGGAAGCTGAGCTTTACCGCCAGAAGCTGGAAGCCATGGGCCAGCAGGAGGCCGGCGCGAGAGAAGGGGCTGCCCAGGAGGAGGCCAGCGGGGCCGGCGCCGTCGAGGCATTCTCTGAAGAAGCGGGCAGCTCCCCAGGGCGAGGGCAGCTCCCGGCCGACACGGGCACCGAGGCAGTCACTTCCTAACCCCCAGGTGGATGTTTTGCTGTGCCTTTTTTTACAACCAAAGATTTGCCCCAGGAAAACTGACATGGGGGATTTGGGAGCCAGGTTCTTGAGGCTGCCCCTCACGGGCTCTGGGGGTGGGAAGCCTTTCAGCAGAGGGCTTTAAGACAAGCAGGGGGATCTAAAAGTCGCCTTCGTAGGAGGTGATCCATTTGATTCAGCGCACTTGCTGATATGACCCTGCAAACAGCTCAGCAGAATGTTTTGAAAACAGCCCTTTAACATTTGCTGGGGGAGCAGCGGGGGAAAGAAACCTTTCAGCCCTCCGCTTTAGTGACAGCTGCAGGTAGGAGAAGAAAAGCGGTCAAGCCGAAGTATAAACAGGAGCTGATTGATCAGCCCGCCCTGCCCCATGGAAACATGAGGCCAGCTTCAGGGCCGTGCGTTCCTCCCCCAGCAGTTTGCAGCCATGATGGGCCTTCAGCAAAGTCCAGAAAGGGAGCAGAGCTTCAGGCTGGGGGGCAGGAGAGCAGCTCCTCCCTCACTCTTCTATCCCTCCCGTCAGGCCCTGCAGTCCCCCTTCTAGAGATTTAAAGGGGCCTGAGTCACCCGGCGTCTTCGCTGCTCAGGGTCTGCAGAGGAGCCCGTCTCCATCCCACCTCCGAGCCCTGAATTTAGGTTCCGGGTCCCCTCTGATTGGGGTCTCCCACCTCCCTCCTCCCACTTCTAGGTGGCCCAGCCGGACAGAGACAAGCCTTTAACAGCTTCCCAGCTGTTAAAGGCACAGGAACCCTTTGTCATCCGTCTGCAATCTCCCTCTGCTCGCGGTGGGAGTCCGTGATTCATCACATCCAGCCCGCTGCTCAGTGCAGGAATCCAAGTTGGAAGATCCCAGATAGATGAGTGTCCAGGCTCTGCTTGAACCCTCCCAGTGAAGCTCTTCAGTCAAAATCTGCCCTCCTCTAACTTCGTCAAACCCCTCTCTCGGAGCTAGGAACTTGCTGGGGAGTTTTATTTTTCAACGGAAACCGAAACCAGAAGTTTTCCCCGTCGTCTTGATCTGTGGCAGTGAGTCTGTCCAGCCCACTGTCTGAGAACTGGAAGGCAATCACGGCTTAAGCGACGTGCTTTGTGGGCTACATTCTAAGTCCACCACGCCTCAAGCTTGTAGTTGGACCTTCCCGTGGAAGTTGGACCTCCTACTCCCTGTTCCGAGTAGCTGAGATTCAGCACCGTCCTTTCCGGAGAGCTTTATTTCCTATCCAGCCAAAGAAAGCGAAGCTGACTTTTAACATCTGTTTCTCAGCCCTCAAGAGTCTGCCTCCCTCTTCGGCTGGCACGAAGGGCAGAACTGCAATTGGTCTTCCCAGAGCTGAAACTCAGATTTTACAAGACCCCGTAGGCATTCGCTGGGGCTGGGCAGAAAACTCCGGCACCCTCCTTGGCCTTCGCCAGGCCAGACAGTGGGGGTCCCAGCTTTGGAAAGCAGCTGCGCCCCCAGACCAAAGCTTGCTCAACCAACGGGGCTGGAGGTGGGTGACGATTTCCCCTGGCATGGCTGCCCCCTTGTTCTGACCTCGGGAGCACAGGGACATTATCAGAAACGGCTCGCTCGGTTTCCTCCAGTTCCAAACACCCCAACCCGAAAGGCTTTTGTCATATGGATTCCCTGGGGGTGGGGCGGGGGGCTGAAGACCCACCCTCCCTTCTGTTTCCTCAGGCACACAGAGCATTATCAATAACCTGGTTAAAGGTGGGTGGATTGAACAGGCAGTACTTTTTCCCTCCTTTCACCCCGTCATCGGCCTTTGCTAGTTGGGTGGCACAGGGTGTTTTATTTGTAGACACAAAACTCCCTATATATTTTTAACAGAGATATAGGTCTCTGCGGAACCGTTTATAATATTTTTTTTGCACCTCCGAGGACCAGAAAGCTCCCCTTTTCAATCTGTTACGACGATGGTTCTGGTTTATAATGCCATTCCTCTCCACCATCGACGAGGCCAGCCCGGGGATGTCCGAAGGCCAGCGTCCGACGAAACAAAGGCCCAGACTGTTGCAAGCCGCGACACGGAGGTCGTTTTGGACTCATTGGCGGCCCCATCCCGAAATCTTTCTTGCCCCCAGCGTCTTTCTGCCTAGGAAAATGCAAGGTGCCAGGCGTGTTCCTTTGCGCAGCCCCGTGCCAAGGGTGGTTCTCGGAAAGGCAGCCGAGCATTCGGGTGGCCCTGGTGTGGTCCAAGCGAGCGGCGGGCAGCTTTGCGCCTCCAACAGGGCTCGCGGTCAAGAGGTTTGACCACAGCCCCCGTCCTCCCTGAAGCCCAGCGGCTTTGGGCCGGCCACAGCTGCTCCATCTCTCTGCCAACCTCGCATTTGGGCTGCCTAATAAACCGCTCGGCTACAGCGGCACTTCCGTATCTCAGGAGAGCGAGGACCCAAGAGCCTTGCCCTCGTGCAAACGCCATTTCTGGCCAGGCTGGGGTCCTTGCACACGTCCGGGGCTGCTAAGCTAGGGCGGCCAGCAGGGAGGAGGTCTGAAGGCACGGGCCCCTTCTCCGCAGCCCTGTTTCGTTTAAACCTGCAGTACTTCCCAAGGGGACGTCTGTCGGCCTCCTTTTGTTATGATGGTCTCGGAATGGAAAGTTGTGCCTTACTGGTCCTTAAAGAGGCAGGGAGTTGCGTCCCCCCAGCGCCCTCGTCTTTGGCCAGCTACAAATGTTGCCCGCCCCCCCCCTTATGGCAGTGAAAGATTCCCAGGACATGCAATAAACTCTTTTTCTGCTTTTTGAATAGCTTTATGTGCAGGCGAGCTTGTTTAGGGGTGGGGGGGAAAGCATTTTCTGTTTTAGAGCCTAAAAACCTCTGCGTTGGGTCTACCGTCAGGGTACAAAAGCCATCGTCTGTGCCCAGATAGACTGCCCCCGTGCACGGAGGCTCAACTGAGGCGCCAGCACCCAAGTTCAGGCTTGGTGCTGCCGCCGCTGCCTTTCCCACCCCTTCAGGCCAGGCGGTAGTCCAGCGTGTCTTTTTCCACGTAATCGGTCCACGTGGACGAGGGCATGCTCCGGTAGGGATCCAGGAGGATGCGGAAGCAGCGGATGATCAGCACCGCCAGAAAGACGAAGAGGAAGAAGACGAAGATGAAGGTGGCTTTCTGCTCCAGGGTCAGGGTGGGGTCCGGCCGGATGGCGCTGGCCAGGGCGGGCAGCGAGCTGCCCAGGCCGGTGGCCATGGGGACGAGGACCCCGAGCGGCCAACCGGGTCCACGGCACCGCCTGGAAGGGGACAAAGGCCCTGTTAGCGATGGATTCGTACGGCTTAAGATGGGGAGGCCCGAAAAATGCAGGGTGGGGCCTTGCTTGGTCTTACCCCTGCAAACCACAGTTTATCAACAAGGTCTTGGTTGCCCCACCGGGGCTGGACACCCCCCGCTGCTTCTCTCTTAAAACCGAAGCTGCGTTTGGCGGCTGTTTCTTGCAGGGCACCTGCGTAGTGGAATCTCTCAAATGAGCTTTGTTGTATCCGGGGGGTGGGGGAGTCCTATGAGGGACACTGTTCGTACAGGCCATAAAAATAAGTTGGAAAAGGCCTGGTGCATTGCCATGCTGGGTGCAGGAAGCCGTGGGCAGCTTGCTCTGAAGCGAAAGGTTGCCGAGGAGGAAAAACAGCCAATTTTGGTAGTCACAGTCAATCCGCCATGAGCAGGAGCAGTCTGCCTCCCAATGCTGGTGGTTAAAATGCAGCAGTGGAGGGTCACTAGAACTGGGCAGCCTTTCATTCAGCCAGATTTCTTGGGTTCAGCACCTTTCTTCCTTCACTGGAGCCTCCAGATTTAGCAGTACTCTACCTCTAAATACTACTTACAACCCAGCGGATGCGTTCCTAATCTTCAAAGAGTATCTGAGTGACAGGCTGGAAAAACCCAAGCAGGAGCAAAGAGCAAGTCTTTGCAATAAGCCAGGATTCCTCAAAATCCCGGCTTGCTTATCTCACGCATATATGCTCAACGTTAGGCGCATTTTAAAGATAAGAAAGTTTGAGGGACTGAACTAGAAAGTGCCCAGAAAAAAGTAAGGGGAAAAAAGGTGTTTGAAAGGTTTAAAAAAGGGCAAAAAGTAGGTTTGCAGAAAACTCAAGACCAAGGGGGAGAAAATTCAAGGATCGAGTACAAGAGATCCTTTTCTAAGTCTGTTTTCCCACATCAACCAGGCCTGGGTCGCTGCTTCATCCCTTTGGGAAGAGAAACGAGAAAATCTCCATTTTTGAAGAAGCTCTGGATGAAGGCCCTCACCCGGACGGCTTCTCCACCCAGGCCTCGTGGTGGAGGGGCAATTATAGCTGGCCCTGCTTCGCCCTGAAATGCCCTTTAGATCTGCACCCAAGCCCCACGAGCGAGGAGGGACGGATTCCAGCTGTTTTACGAACCCCTCCTCCAACGCAGCCGTCCATGCAGACGGATGAGCGGAGGGACCCTTGTTGGGGGGCAATGGGGGTTCAATCCCCAACCCATCGTAAGGGTGAGAGTTTGGGAAAGGCTCGTAGGTTATCTTCCTCCCCCGTCCTCTCCCCAGGGGAACACTTTTTTTTAGCTGCTGCTGTTCCAACACTTGCCCTAAAGGTTTTAAAATTTAAAAAAAATCCTTTGGCAGAAGGATTGAGCGGGGAGGATTATTAATAATGCAAGACTGAGCTGCCAACAGAATGACATCTTCAAGGCTGGGAGCCGCTGAAACGAAATCGGGGGGGGGGTGCGCGTACCCGTGGGGGGTATCCCAGAGCTGTCACTGACATGGGACCCTTCCCACCCAAGGTGCCCGTCCCACCCAAGGTGCCCGTCCCACCCTTCGACTTGCACCGTCCAAGTCCCATTCAGCTCCCCTGCCCGTGGAATGAAAACGAGAGATCTCACCTGGGCAAAAGCTAAGCCACTCCCTAGCACAGGATCGCCGCCAGCCAGGTAAACCACCGGCCCCTCAGCCCAGCCGTTCCTGGGAAATCAGGGCTGGGTGGGATCAGCACACCAGCTCTTGCCCGAGGCTTCCCGCATCTTCCTCACTGACAGCAGCATACGGAGACAGGGAGCAGATGAACTGAGCAAAGCCAGCCCTTTGCCCCGCGTGGGACTGGGCCGGGGAGGGAGCTCTGCAGAGGGCAAAGGTCCCCTTTTCGGCGGTCGCGGTGGCCACTTCCTCCGGTGCCCACACGTCCCTGGACAAAGAGCCCAAGATGCTTCATAGTTGTTGCCAGTGGCAACCCGTTTCTATGGAGATGACAGAGCAAACTCCTTGAATGCTGGACCAGGCGGGAGCGAGGATGCTGGGAACGTGGGGTGCTCGGCGGCCGGGGTCCCTATCCGAGACTAAACTTCTGTCGAGGCGCGGGGGCGAGAGAAAAACAGCTGCCGGGCTTGCGCTGTGCTGCCCGGAGGGAGCCAGCAACGGCTGAACCCTAACACTGGATTAAGAAAACACAATTGCAGTGTCCACATGACACGCCTCGCCCAACCATAGGATGGCAAAACTGCATGACACAATTTACCAACCCTCCATCTCCCCGAAAAAAATGGGGAGGTTGGGCGCAGCAGGGGGAATTCAGACAAGAAAAGGAGATGTGATTGGGAATCTCCCCCCCCCAAAAAACCCCAAGGGGACAGAGTTTGGTGGGATTTGGCCCCAATCTGTGGCACAGGGACTTGGTCTACGGGTCGCAAAAGTGCACAGCGTCTCTGGGAAGCCACCCAAAGTCTCAGCTGGAAAGATCGGTGGGGTGGCATTTTCCCTTTACCGGCAGAATTGTGCTCCCAGGTCTCGAAAAAGTCGGGCCAGGACCCAGGATGAGCCTGTGCAGGCTGAAAGAGACAGAGAACAAGTCTCTCGGGTCCCACCCAGGTTTAGCCGCTTGGAATGGCTGCTTGGAATGGCCAGCCCAGGTCCGTGCATCAAAGCCCGGGCACGGGAAAATGGGGCCCTGACACACCCGAGTTTGCATCCTTGGAGCTGCCCCCGAGGAGGGAGCAACGCAGCTGGAAATAGAAGACCCCAGCCCCTTCCTGTCTCACCGAGGGAGCGTGTCTGTGTGCGTCACGGTGGGCAGGAAAGTGTGCGGCTGGCAGGAAGCCACCAGGTGGCACTGCAGGCCAGGATTTTTCTGCTGGGCACTTTTGAGTGTGCAAAGAAGGGGACATTTTCAGCCAAAGGTGCCTCTCTCTCACACCCTCTTTTTAAAAAATTAATGTACAATTCAAGATTCAGAGACATTCGGACACCTCCCCGCAGGCGCTTTTCAAGGAATTTTTAAGGGGGGTTGCTCATTTGGGGGTGGGGGGTAAATCAGACCCGGCCTCGCGTGACCCAAACGCAGCCACAACCTGGGGAGGGGGG